CTGCAGTCCCTGACAAAGAGTCCCTCTCCAGCATCCTTGTTGGCCCCTATGAGGTCTCCACACAGCCTTCCCTTCTGCAGACTGAACAGCTTCTACTTTCTCAGCCTGTCTTCATATGGGAAGTGCTCAAGTCCCCTTATCATCCTCAGGACCCTCCTCTGGACTTGTTCTAACATGTTGATCCCTGTCCTTCTTATGTTGAGGACACTTGAACTGCACACAGTACTCCAACTGAGGTCTCACAAGAGCAGAGTAGAGGGACAGGATCACCTCTTTTGACCTCCTGATCGCACTCATTTTGATGCCACCCAGGATACAGTTGGCTTTCTGCGCTGTAAGCATCTACTGAAGTCAGCTCATGTTCATTTTCTCATCAACCAATACCCCCAAGTCCTCCTCTGCAGGGCTGCTCTGAATCTCTTCTCTGCCCAACCTGTAGCTGTGCCTGGGATTGCTCTGACCTAGGTGAAGGACCTTGCACTTGTCCTTGTTGTACTTCATGAGGCTGGCGCTGACCCATCTTCTCAAGCATGTCAAGGTCCCTCTGGATGGCATTCCTTCCCTCCAGCATATCAACCAAACCACACAGCTTCAGCAAATTTTCTGAGCACACACTCAATCCCACTGTCCATGTTGTCGACAAAGATGTTGAACAGGACTGGTCTTTACACCAATCCCTGACAGACACTGCTTGTTACTGGTCTCCACTTGGACATTAAAACATCAACTGTGACTCTGTGTGTGGCCATCCAGCCAATTTTTTATCCAGGGAGTTATCCATTCATCAAATTCGTGTACCTCAAATTTAGAGACCTGGATGTCATATGGAAAAATGACATACATGACATACACAGAGCAAGCACTTCTATCAGTGATTGCTTTCATCATTCAAATGCTGATAAAAGCTTTGAATACACCCCCTCAGAAATCATTATTTTTAACTCCAGCAATAAGAGAGCATGTCATGCACACCCCTAGATTTAATACGATAGGTTCATCCTCCAGGAAAATCTTTACAAAAAGTTTACTGCTGTAGAAAGCTTTGTAGAAAGCTTTATAGAATGCTCGAGTGCTAATTGACTGTAACCAGGGTAATGCAACATGCCCCACTACTTTCTCAGAGAATGGACAGCAGTCAGGACAACTAAGAGTACAATCTGAATCAGAATGGCTATGAATTACAAAGTTACCAAAAGGACACACCCGTGCAGTGGTTATTAAACCTTTTTACATTGATACTGAAAAGATTCTGGATTGGCTAGAAAGGAGTGTGGGAGCCTTTTTAACACAAGGCTTCCCCAATTCGTTTTCCCAAATAAAATGATCATTAGGGTTACAAGGGCAATTCTTATTTTTAAACCGCAGAACAATTCTTACTTCTGCTACTTGAGCTATAATATAGGTATAAAAATGGCTTCCTTTCATCACGTAAGTAGTGGTTCTTCTTCTGTTGTTCAGATTTAGACTTGTAAGAATGATCTTCACGTGTGTTTCTTTGCCTTTGAGTTTTCCCCTTCTTCCTCTCAGACTTTGCATTTTAGAAGCAGTCTCAACGTCTCAAACTTAGTCTGTCCAAATGTGACCTTTTCCAGCTTAACAGTTCCTCTTTTCTGTCTACCTTTCCAAAACACTGACAACTCCATTGCTCTGTCTCTCAAGATTTCCCAGAAAAACAAGCAATCACAACTTATACTACAAATTCTAAAGAAAATTTCATGGAAAATTTGACAAAACAGATTTTATTTTGGGTTTCCACAATTATCAGAATAATGACAGAAAATGTGTCATACTGTACTGCAGCCCCATATGTCATTCAGTGATCTAATTTCGAATTTTGAAAGGTTTACACCAAGAAACTAATATTAAGGTGTTATCAATCACAGTTACCCTAAATTTAGCAAGACAAAAAAGATTGGATCATTTAGAAACTTTACTATTCCTCTGACAAAAAAAAAAAAAAAATAAAAGAAGAAAGAAAAGAAAGCAAAACTCATCTAATCTATTCTAATTAAAAAGTATCTAGCTGTCATTGGAAATTTCTAAGAATTGCGGCTACCAGTAGTATCAAATGGACAGATATTTTTGCTATTATACATTAGAAAGTAATATGCTGGCCTAGTCACTACGGACTTCTTTCAGTTTGTTTCTGTTATTTTTCCTATAATTCCTAGGTTCTAAATGAAATTGCCAGTTTATGAAGATACTGGTTCCTATCAAGTTACCCTCTCTTCTTAGGCCTCTTCTCTAGGATTTGTTTTATAAGTTTTATTTCCTCTACAAACAAGTTTCATTTTTGAACAGCATATCTTTCCCTTCCTATTATGGAACTGGGACTTTGGGGGCATCTAATTAAACTGCTCCCAATTAATGTCACCCTGTTTCTGTTTAAATTGTCTTCCATTTGAATGGGCTTATAATTGCTTTCTACTTGCTAAGTTAGTCCATTCAAAATACAGAGTAGATACCCATTAATGATCTGAACTACACTGTAACTCAAGTTAAAGCATTGCCTTTGTAATTTGTTTTGCATGTTTAATAGGTTATACGGAGCTGATTAATGAATTTTCTAGCTTGCCTCAGTGGTTTCTTGCAGAAATCAGTTTTTACACTGCATTCATTGTACTATAGTTTTTATTTACATTAATGTTCATTGTTCAATATTACAAACACAGTGAGTGTTATTTTGCTACTTATTTTAAATTCTTGCGGGTTTAATAGCAATATAGTCTGTGTTAATGAGAAAGGAGAAATTCTAGTCATTACCAGTTTGTCTTCCAACTACTTTAGAAGGAGAAAGGAAATTTAATAGCATATTGTGACACTAGAATAACATAATTTTAAGGCCATTCAACATCTGTTCTCATATTTTAATTTCAGAATAGATGTTGCCTTTTCAAATCCTCACTTTATTAATAAAGTCACATTTTTGTGTGACTTTGAAATTGAATGACACACAAAATCACATCATGAATTTTGAAAAATATTACTGGAATACTTACTGCCTGGATTGATTTTGGTTACTTTTTTCATGCAGAAGAGGACTGTATTTGAAACACTCTTTAGAATCAAGAGCAAGAAGTTACCCTGTATCTAATTTTTCTTTGCTTCTATGACCATATTCTAATGGAGAGGTATGAAAAGCTAGCGCAGAAGGATTCTTCCGCCTTCCTCCACTTAAGAAGCTTAGTAAGAGATCAAATTATTTAATACACTCATTAGTAATTATTAAATCTGAAATCATTTGTTATTTGGACTAATATTAGAAATGGCCACTCTTCAAAGGAACAGAAGATTAGTTCAGATAAGCACAAAATCTGAAAGCTCAAGTAGCCGTCTTAGTACTGGGAAACCCTCAAATATGTTGCCTGACACTGAAAGGCAGGTGTTACAGAGATATTGAAGAGCCTCAGAAGGATAAGGTATCACTCTTGTAAGAGAATGCAGGTTGTAATAAAGGACAGTCCTGGTCCACAGATTCTTAAAGCCAAATAGATGGGAAATTTCAAGGAAAAAAAAAATAAATGAGTTAAAGGAAGAAAATGCAAAGCTGAAATGCAAGTTAACAACTCAAGCTGAGCTTACTATTGCTCCGTCTAATTTCCTTCCAACACCACAGGTACGTCAGGTACTTAATTCCTCATTGTATGTGTATCCACTGATTTATTTTGTATCATGGTCTTAGCTGCCTAGTAGCAATAAATTTAGTTAATAGCTAGGCTTTTACCTGGTAGCAGTTTGCAAGGAGCACTGTGACCAAACTTGATCATGAAGGAGGGTATCTGTGTATGTACAGTGAAAAACATACAAGTTCAAGATATGAAGCTACTGGAGAAAGTCTAGCAAATGGTCAGCTAAGAAGATGAAGGTATTGGAGCATCTCACACATGAGGAAAGGCTGAGAAAGCTGGGAATGTTCAGCATGGGGGAAAAAGAGTTGCAGGAGACTTACCAATGTATATAAATACCTGAAGGGAGGGTGCAAAGAGGGCAGAGACAGACTCTTTCCAGTGGTGCCCAGTGACAGGACAAGGGCACCAACAGAAATGTTCCGAACATCAGGAAGCAACTTTTCATGGCAGAGTCACTACGCCTGGCACAGGCTGCTAAGAGTCGTTTTGGATTCTCCATCCTTGGAGATATTCAAAAGCCAGCTGCATACAGTCCTGTGGCACTGGCTTTTGGTAGCCCTGCTTGAGCAGGATGGGTTGGACAAGACTGTCATAGTTTAAACACAGTCAGGCAACTTGTTCACTCATTCCCTCGCTTCTTTCCCTCTCCCTGCTCCCGGAGGGACGGAGAGGAGAATCGAAAAGAATGCAACTCCCACAGGTTAAGAACAGTTTAGTAACTAAGGTATAACACACATCACTACTGCTACCACCAATAATAATAATGATAAAGGAAATAACAAGGGAAGAGAATACAACATCTCACCACCAGCCAACTGATAACTCGCCCCCCCCAGCCCGACCAAGCACTGACCGATACCTCATCCAACCCTGCAGTCTCCCAGCCCTTCCAGCTAACTCCCAGTTACATCCCGGGCATGACATGCTGTGGTATGGAATACCTCTTTGGCTAGCTTGCGTCAGGTGTCCTGTCTCTGCTTCCTCCCGGCTTCCCCTCCTCCCTGGCAGAGCATGAGGCTCACAAAGTCCATGGCCAAACCAAAACATCATTGTTATCAGCTCTGTTCCCAAGCCAAAAGTCAAAACACAACACTGCACCAGCTGCCAAGGAGAAAAATGACTGCTACTGCTGAACCCAGGACATTATCCACCCCTTATTCCATACCATTCATGTCATGCTCAGATCCCACATTTTCAGTATACCATCACTCTTATCTAAGTGCATGGACCAGTCCCTATAAAGCTGCTGAGTCCCTCTAGTCCATGATGTCAGGCTCCATCTCTTGTAACAATCTTTCAGAACAGGAGAGGCTGTGTGCAGTGTTCACACTCGTGAATAATCTGGGCAATAGTGTCCATTGCTAAGTCCACCCCTCGATCATGAGTCCATCTCTATGTTGCATCTCTGCTCTGATGGCCTGAAGTGTCATGGGCCCACCAGGCTCAAAATAATTCACTGTCCCCTTAAGCAGTTTCTGCAGTTTGCTGCTGAGGACTCCATACAGCTGCCTTCCATCTCCGACTCTTCCAAAGCAGTGGAGGGGCCCAGTGGACTAGATACTTGCCCATACTGTCCCACACACCCTGCCACTCATGACTGTCCAGCCTTGGGGAAAATCTCCTGGTCCTCCCATATCGTCGTCTAATCGCAGACAAGACCCAAACCTGACTCTGCTTAACTTCTGAGATCAGACAAAATGGTGGTGGGTAAAACACAGTCTGTATGTGTGCCAACATGCTGATCCCCATCACAATCAGCAGGCAGGTCCCAAGGGTACCCAAAGGCCATTCAAAACCCTCAGAACTCTCAAACGATGCTGCTGTACTTGTCACTGGGGCTGGTGTAGCTGCTGTGCTTGCCGGCTCTCCCACCACCAGCTTCTCTTTTCCTGAGTCCAGATCTTCCTCCTCTGCCTTGCTGGGAAATGCTGCGTGGTCTCCTGCATCCTCCTGGGGCTCGGCAGGCGGCTTCCGGGGGATGGGCTCGGCCGTCGCAGGGCTGGGCTCGGCCGCGGGGCTCGGTTCCTCCGCGGGGCTCGGCTCCCCCGCCGTCTTCTCCCGCTGCTCAGCAGCCGCCTCCTTCCTCTCCTCGGCCGCCCCGACCTCCTCCACCGGCAGCCGTCCCCTCGCGGCCTCCGGCCCCGCTCCTGCCGCCGCTTGGTCCCCGGGGCCGCTCTCCCGGGCCGCTTCAGCAGCCACCGCCTCCCGGGGCCGCTCCCCCTCGGCTCCCCGCGGCCTCACGAAGATGGAGGCGAGGGCGAGGGCCAGGACGGTGAAGAGCAGCTGGACGGCCAGGTACAAGTCCACGGCCACGTCCGTCCCGCCCTGCTGCTGGAGCCCACCCGTATTACAAGCCATTGCCATAAAGCACAGTGAGACAAGAACCTTAGCCCAGGCCCCACACCGGATAAACACTAACACAGCAAATACCGGCTCTAGTAATGTACAACATTCTGAAGCTGTGAGATCAACAAAACAACTCTGAGAGCCAATAAATCAGCATTGTGATGAGTGACTATTAATCCAGTCAGATCTGTTATCAACCCTTCGTGCCCCACGTTGGGCGCCAAAAAGAACTGCCGTGGTTTAAACCCAGTCAGGTAACTCGTTCGCTCACTTCCCCCCCTTTTCTTGCCCTCCCCCTGCTCTCAGAGGGACGGAGAGGAGAATCGAAAAGAATGCAACTCCCACAGGTTGAGATAAGAACAGTTCAGTAACTAAGGTATAACACAAATCACTACTGCTACCACCAATAATAATAATGATAAAGGAAATAACAAGGGAAGAGAATACAACACCTCACCACCAGCCGACCAATAACTTGTCCCCCCCATCCTGACCAAGCTCTGACCGATACTTCCTCCAACCCCACAGTCCCCCAGCCCTTCCGGGTAACTCCCAGTTACATCCTGGGCATGACGTGCTGTGGTATGGAATACCTCTTTAGTCAGTTTGGGTCAGGTGTCCTGTCTCTGCTTCCTCCCGGCTTCCCCTCCTCCCTGGCAGAGCATGAGGCTCACAAAGTCCTTGGCCAAACCAAAACATCCTTGTTATCAGCTCTGTTCCCAAGCCGAAAGTCAAAACACAGCACTGCAGCAGCTACCAAGAAGGAGAAAAATGACTGCTACTGCTGAACCCAGGACAAAGATGACCTCCAAAGGTCCGTCCCTTCCAACCCTCAACCACTCTGTGTTTCTGTAAAAGCATCTAAATCCACAGGTGGGAGAGAGGCAGGTGAAAGGGAAAGTTAGGGATAAGTAAAGGAACACAAGTAGATTTCAAATCCAAAGCATAGCTTCTGCCACCTTAAAACAAGCTGTTTGAAAAACTGAGAGCATTTTTATGACTACGTGGTTACTTCAGATTTTCTAACATGCATCCTGCATACTCCATTCATGTGCACTTCATAATTTGGAAACAGGAATCTGTAATCCAAGAGAAAATTAAACTTCTTGTTCCTAATTTAATATACGAATGCTGTCAGTGTAGAAGACATGTTTATAAAAAGGGCTAAACTAGACTTTATTTTCTTAAAAAACAAAACAACAAAAAGAAAAAATACAACCCAAAACCACAAAAACCAAACCAAACCTAAAAAAAAAAAAAAATTCCTCTCAAAATTAAGTTTCTTAGTCCAGACTTCTAATCTAAAGAGGTAGTTTTATTTTCAGCAATAAGACCTGCATTTCTAACACTAAGCATGTGTCTGTGAGCTTTGCAGAACTACATAGTTTCTGCATTATTATTAGGCAAAAGGTTCCAAATTTCAGTCTGTAACTCTTTCCTGATAACCGCACTAATTTCCTGAACCACCAAGAAATTCTTGATGCTCTCAGCCTTTGAAAACGCATCTGTCAGCACTGAAGTTAGCTGCAGAATTGATATTAAAGCTGAACCTTGCATGTTGTTGAGGAAGGCCACATAAATCTAACCTGGCATTTCACAATTTCTTTAACCTTCTCTCTGACAAGACAGACATAAAAAGAATAACTATTATAGCTAAAGAGATGAAGGCAGAATTACACTCCCGAAGTTTAGCAGAAATCTAGTTGGTTACTCACTTCCGTGGAAGGTATTATCCCAAGACTCATCTACTGAGAAATGTTTCTTTAATTGCACTCACTTCACACAATACGGCAGCTGATGTTTTTCTCCATTGCTGTTAGAAGGCAGCAAAGATTTCCGCTGGCCACATGTAGCAGGTTGCAGGATATTCTTGGAAAGGAAGATGTAGGCAGGAATGTCTTGGTGTTCCCAGCTCCATTCCACTGCTGTCTGCTACTGCCCTGAAGACAGAGGCTCCTCACCAAGAGTAAGTGGGAGAGATAAGCCCTTGCTCTATTCTGTTGACAGTACTCCCAGAAGCAAAATATACCAGTCAGGCTAACTGGATTCATAAGCCTCATTTCTGAGGAGGAAAGGAGATGAGTGCTGTACTGCTGACTTGGGATGGCAAGGAATGGCTCTTTCCAATAAAGGAAGATATTTGAGTCAAGAAGATTGCAGTGGTGGATTCAAACGCAACTGTAAGTACAGTATTTCTCCAGCACAATTCCCTTCTTGCTACTCACAGAGCCAAACTGACACTGTCTCCTACATTGCATTCAATTGCAGGGAATATTCAACACATAGACTTCAAATGTTAAGAAATTGGCATAAAGAATTGTCCCAGGAAGAAGAAACCAACCCATGCACTGACTGGTGAGTCCATGCCAAGAGCTAAGTTTTCAGATACTGGATATAAACAACAAGTATTTTACATATAATTTGCATCCTGGAATGATTGACGATTCAGGAAACAACTTGGGATAGCAGATCTATTTGTAAACAAAATAAAACGAACAGTGGTCTCACAGACAAATAAAATGACAATATGAAAAAGTGTGAATTTTATATCCAGACCCTTCAAGGACATACTTCGGCCATCAACTGGTTTACTTTTAAGAAGAGTTATTTTATCTTATTACATATTGTCTCGTAATTTCCAATGAAAAATATTCATATGCACTAGATATAAAAAACCTATGAAGTATATTTAATATCACAAATAACTGTGCCTTTAAAGTGGATCCATTAGAAAAGCTTATGAGTATTTCTTTAATTAAATGTACTTTAATATATTAACTATGACACAGTCACAATAATGCAAAATTATGGGAAGGGAAATTAATTGGGCATAGGGCACTTGATAATTAAACATTTAATAACTATTTGCAAAGATTCCGACAGCGGCATGCCAAATTTGTCAACTCCAGCAATTAATTGCAAATTGCTCCTTAACCCACGAGATGCTGAGAGCCATCCTTGTGGGACTGTTTAAGTTATACTTTGAGATCCTAAGCCTGATAGCCTCGGGTTTGAACATCGCTGGGGCTCAAGGATGGAATGGGTCTGGACTTACTGACTCTGGCCTCCTCTGTTTGATGGTATTATACCTTGAGTTTCAATGAAAATCTGTTCTTTGTGATATACAGAATATTCATTCCCGCTGTTTTAAAATTAACTGAGTTATACAGATTTATGTAGGAAGGAAACTTTTTAACATGTTTCATGTCCAATTCAGAAGAGCAATATGTTAACATACTTTAAACACATCAAATGTCTTCATTCAGGTCTATGAAATAATTTCAAAACCAGATGAAAGACATCCCAAAGATATTTCTAGCAACAACTTTTATCTGTGGATGGTGAATAATAAGAGTAAACCAGAACTGCAACAATTTCTGCATATAGAGAATTATGAAGTTTTTCTATTATGAAGTAGACAAAATTTCTGTTATATCAAGGTTTCAACATACTCAGACATTTCTGACAAGTGTATGTGCAATATCATGAATGTTGGCGTTATTTTTTCTTTTGCATTATAAATATGTATACACACAGATGCACAAAACTAAAGAACTCCAAGAATCACAAGGCTAGTTCTAGTGCATTTCTCCCTTATGGCATTGAAGGATAAATAGAAAATCTCAGTCAAGAAATGCCATAAACTAGGAGGTGAGTAACTGCAATATCTACAAATGGTGAGATTGCTATCTATTCCTTACTTTTTGTCAACAGCCTAGCCTGACATGCAAATTCCATGGTAAACTCTAGTTCTTGCTGATGACCACCATAGATGATACCAAAAAAATATTTTGAAATAAGGTGGATCTCTAAGCCTGCCTGCTAGCTTTTGAGGTAACCACTTTGGATAAATGTTGGGGCTTAGAATCCAGAATGTCATAAGAAATTGTATTGCTTGGACACATTTCAAAATTTTCTAGACAGTCAGCAGCAGATGAAAATCTATTTTTAACTGATACATGGAACACAGTATATGTGAATACTGCATGATGCATTCTAGTAAGGCACACTTTTGCTTCAATAATCAAAATATATTTGGTATAGATGAATGAAGGCAATAATCCTTGCCTCCTGACAAAGGGCACTGTGTAATAACTTGAACTTCCACCTTCCCTCTAAAACCAGTGATGCTTAGTGGGTGTTTCTGAGGGCCTTCACATGAAGACCCTAGAAAGAGATGATTCCCTCCCTCATTTTTTCTCTCCAACTCACTAAATTATCCATAATTTTCTTCTTTCTTCAAGAAGATGAAGAAATAGGTATTTTCACCACATGGAAATGTTGATCTTTTGCCTGACCATGTAAAGGACAAAAAACTTTTCCTCCAATAACAAAAACACAAGGTCCAGGCACAAAACTGCCAGAAGAATGAAGTCACAAGTGCCAAGTATCAGTTAAGGCCCACACGTGGAGCACTCTTCCTAAACTCAAACTGGTATACTGCCAGATACAAAGTCTTGAGATCAAATGGAAAGTAAGCCAGAACAAGCCCACTGTACTAGCTAGAGCACACAGGAAACATAACTAATTTCAGAGCTAGCGAGCATGTTTAGACACATTACTGAAAACTCTACTAGTATTGAAAGTCAAAAAAGGTATTGTCTAATTTTTTTCATTGAAAGACATTTGAATTTTACTATCTGTGTTAGATGCTGGGTTTCAGAATCTTACTAAACTGCAGAATAGACTTGCTTTTATTCATTTTTCTGAGGAATTGATTTCTCCTGTTTAGTTGTTTTGAG